CCCATAAAAATTTGTGTTCGTAATTTTTAAAAAGTAAATTAGACGTGACAATTTGAAGATGTGCTGTTTTTTGCACGAAGATATTGTGTTCATTATGTTAACTACTTTCGTATTTCGATGCTATATGACATTATACTCCCAAAACAGTTGCCCGAACCCTACTTATCGATATTAAAGTGCCTCAGTTTAATATGTAAATTGCATTTACTCACAGATGTTAAGGGGTAGCGTTTTGCTATATTTAGTGGAATAAAATTGAATCATTTTTTTATTAAAATGGAAATGGTAAAGGAAATTGCATTTGATGTATTGCCATTAAAGATGAGGATCGATGCAAAAATGTCAAGCACTATTCAAGGGTGTCGATTTTATCTTCGTGGTTAGCAAGCGACACAATTTTATAACATTACGCTTTAGTTGTTAGATAGGTACTTATGAAGGGAACATAGCATTTATAAGATCTAGGTCACAGAACTTTTTATTGATTTTTTTGTTGTAATTAGAAGACACTGACAACTTGATTCTAATTTTTAACTAAACATACAGCCGTTGTCCAAAAATAAGAAGGAAGGATTAGCGCATCCCTTCTCCTTTCCTTGTTTACGAAACGGTCAATTACCGCCTCTACAGCGATTATGTCTATAACACTTTTCGATCGACATGATAGGTCCTCTAGTCTTTCTTGGCCCGTGGCAACTCAATCGTGTATGAACTCTCCTCAAAGCGCTGAAAGGACGCTCGATAGAGCAGCTGCTGGCAGGTAGGTATAGTTAGGGAAATCTGCAGCATCTTTAAGATGGAAAACATCAGTGCATCAAGAAGCTTTAAATGCATCAATGAGCCCCTTTAGCCCTTTATCCTCAGAGTTTTTTTGATTAGATGGTTTCTGGTAAGATCTACTTCGCAGCTACTCAAATTAACCTGGTAGAATTTTGCAAAATCTTCCTACTTATGAAACAAAATTTGATGAAACTGGATCACAGGCTTGAATCGCTCTGATATCATTCGATCCAAACAAGAATAAAAAATGGCACTTCTGAAATTCTCTTCTCCGTCGACTCGTTCCGTGTCCCGCAGCTTCCCTCAACGATAAAATCGCCCATCCGTCGTTGTCTTTGCTTGGTTTTACTTGTTCGAGAATGTTCGCTGATGGTATCAAAAGTCATTGGTTTTGTTGAAAATTTTGTCTGTTTTTTGACTGTTTCGGAAACTTTTCACGGTAGCACACGCATCTTCTTTGAATTCCACAGCTTGGGTTAGGTCAAGGTTCTCCGTTTGTATAACAGTACTATGCGATCAAAAATGAGTTGCTGTCGAGTCACCTTTAGAATTTTTGTTTACATGGGAAATTGTACTTAAGTTGCACTTCCAAAGGTGACTCGACCGCCACTAGTATTGAATTTCGTTTAATCTTAAGGTCATTTTCAGATTCAATCGGAGAAATACTGACAGAAATATGTATATCTAGGTTCACATAGAATTTAAAAACGATAAATGCAAACCAAGTTATAAATAGACCCACCCTCGTAATGTACAATTAATAAACTGAAATATAACGACCCATTCATAAAACATTTTCCATTCTAGTATAGTGTACTACTTACTCCTCAATAATTGGAAAAAAACATTTTGTTGGTGGTTGAATTTTTAATGAAGCAATTAGCCAAATGATTGATTGTTAGGAGGCGCCATTCCATTACCAATGCAGCGTGCTGAAGTATGTCCCTATATGTACGTTCCTAATTAATTAATCACACGACAATATAAATATCAAATTCAAATAAAAAAAATAATAAATAATCTAGTAAAACCCGACAAAGTGAAAGAGGTTAATTAATTGTCGGTTAGAATTCAATTATCTACCTTTTCAACGTAATCCGGGAAAAAAGTAATATCATAAAAAGTGACATTTTGTTACCTATCAACAGAAATAAAATGTCAAACGTTTTTCACGTCACACAAAAAAAGATAATTTAAATATCTGTACGGGAACGGCTACAAACTGAAAATTAGTTGCAGTATCTTGATTTCCTTATCGGCTGCCCAAGCGGCGCTACAAATTAAAGTCATTACTTTTACCTTCTATTTCCAATCCCTAGAAAAGAAATGCATAGCTACGGAAGTTCTCATAAGGAAGCGCTCGTTTGATTTAGTCAATGTACCGTGTGTTTATTAATCCTGATATAATTCCTGTACGAAAACGGGTGCTTCGTTATGTAATGAACCATTTGCTACATCCTGCTAAACAACCATTTTCGTTACCGATGTCAAGTATTCCTCCCTCTGTATCCATTTATTTCTTGAATTGTTCCTCGGTGTTACACTGTTACCCAAAGCTAACTCGGTTTTCCGGTGTCTCAAATTCCACCCAACCAAATTTCTTTGAATAGTTTGTGCCACACCGGGTTTCGTCAGTAAAAAATACATTCGAACCTGTTTCTCTATTATGACGTATAGATATTTAGCTTCTTTAGGAGCTATTGCATTCATTTCTATTAAAATGGAATATGCGTTTTTTAGACGTTGATAAAGTGCGGTTATGGTTGGAAACCGTTTTTGCATATACAAATTGAATATTTGCCGTCTTATTTTACACTGGAAAATAAGGGCAGTTTGCAATTACATCTCCAAATCTAAAATGAACAGTTTTTGTAGAAAGTGGACCAAAATGAAAATTTGTGCAGTCATTTTTTAAATTATTAGTTTATTTGTTTCTTGATGGTATTTACTATTAAATTAAAGCCGACTGAATATTAAATAGGAACAAATTTTCCGTTCATTCAAGTTTATTTACAAACTAGTATTATTTTCTCTTGCACAATTCATCATTTTGACCTCTCCAGTCTGTGCCTTGATCGCATTTAAAAAGAAATTTATTTTGTGCAGGACTGAAGTACTAAAAATACGTGAAAAAATTAAACAATCTGATACCGTAATTTACAGCAAATTTACATCACATTCTCACCTAAACATCTTGCAATAAAACAAAGAAACAAATAAAAAGGGAATAAAATGCTGTTTTCTAAAACCTAATATTCCGCCTTTGGAAATATGGATAAGAATAGCGTAGGTAGAATTTGTAGGAGTCGTTTCGAATATTGCTTGTATACCTATATCTATACACCATTAATCAAAATTATATACGTATAACCTCTGGTAACAACGTAATTATTTCCAATTTACAAAGGTTACCGATTCAAGATATTTGGACTTAACTAATTTTAGATTAAAATTGATTTACGGTTTCTTCTAATTCCGGTGAAAAGCGTTTTCCTGAAAACGACTGACGCAGATTAAAACGTTTCAGATGTTCAAGGTGCATTCGCTCATTCCTCAAAATAATGTGGAAAAAGTTGAACGATTAAAGTACCTTTATATAGAGGTACAATCGAAACATGGCGCTGTGTGAGAAAATCCTCTATTATTCCAATTTTAACATTGATATTATCACGTGTGTTGAAATTTGTGGGTAATTTATGTTGAAAAAGTCTACAATGTTTTTTACATAATAATTAATATTTCATTTACACGTCAGTACGTATTTAACATTTAACCTAGCACGAAGTAAAATCTTGTGGCAAATTGAATAGGTAGGAGTGCCTTGGTTTTAACTTGCTAAATTTTATATAAAAAGAGAATAAATTTAATTATATAAAGTGCACCTCAGTGTCGTTTTTTGAATTCTTATATTCTTGTTTTAGATTTATGGATTATAATTTCTGCAATCATGGAGCGAGAGAAATTCGTGCTTTAGGAAAAGGCTTTGGGGCAAGCAACGATCTTGTTCACTTTCATCTAGAGATTTTAGTGTAAGTACTCACGATTATGTATATGTATTCACCCTCCGTTTCTTCTTTCTTATTTTATATATAGTATTTTTATAAAGATATACGTATACACTACAAAAATCAAAAATTAATTGATTCATCCTCATTAAAAAGCTACTTATTGCAAGTTTTAAAATTCACACCCCGTATATGGTAATTACTTTGACGTATATAATTTTGAGACCTTTCCAAAAATGGGAGCAATGCAATGGACTATAGGGGATCTTTACCTCCAAAAAGGATAAAAACCCAGCCTTTGTCTGGAACCATTTTTCAGGACGGTGAGGGCGTTTTGCTTATAGTTGGCAAAAGGAGCCACGGTTAATGGTGACATTATGGAAGCCCAGCCCAATTGAACGCTTGAAGAAGTTTCTTAAAGCAAACCGACGCACAACAAAATTTGAGGGTCCACATGCTCAAGCCATTACCGTAGCTTCACAAAAAAGCTGGGCCAAGTCTGTAGCAACCTATTAGTGCAGATGGAGGTTACTTAGTGAAATACATTTTTTCGATTTTTATACGGTTTCCTCCGTAGATAGGTAAGAAATTTGTTAAAAAATGCATTTGTATTTTGAGTGTGTGATTTGATGTATTTTTTACTTTATTTAAGCTGAAAAGCTTCTGCACGGTTTTCGAAAGAGGAAAGAAATTTTTTACGTTAGACCATTGATCTATCAGATATCTACAGCTTGGATGAGTTCGTAGGTGAACAAAATGGGAATAATTTGAAATTTATCATTTAAGCATATTTTAACTCGACATACCTACGTCGAAACTCATTCTGTTTTTGCCCAAGACGTTAACTGATTTATGACAAAAAGATTTCGTTATTTATCTGTGCATTAGCTCGATGTGGACGAATTGCATTTTGTGCCTTTTAGATTACCACGTATAGTTTAACCAATAGATACCAAATGTGGGGCAATTTAATTAGGAAAACAAGCTCGAGGTGGGAGAGGTAAACATGCCATTTTTAATGATTCATAAATTATTATAAATAACTGACAGTGTTATTACTACGCTTTTTATATTATTATCTAACTATATAAAGTTGTATTTTGTGAGAATTTTGTAAATAGAATAACTAAATCTTTTACATTTTCGGAAATCCATTCAAAAATCATGTAACATTTTATGATTTTTGTCATGTTCAAGGAAACTTTTTAAGGATTAGATATATTGTTTTTGTTTTGAAAAATCGTGCCTAATCACTTCATTAATTCTGTGGAAACAATTAACTGCGTTTTAATCCATTAAAAATTTGTATCTCTCTCTGGGAACAAAACTACTCAAGGTGATTTTTTATAGTAAACCATAAAATATACTCATAAATCTTCCTTTACTATGCAATATGAATGACATATTTATTGTTTCACTACTCTATCGAAAATTGTAGTCCTTACAATCGGTGGTATTATTTTCTCATGATAATTTATAATTGGATCGTTATTTTTAAATATATAATGGAGATTACGAGCAACTAAATTAAAGTAATTGACGGGGAAAAGCTCCTCAAAAAGGTAGCCGGCTTGCTACTAAGAAACGGTATGGACCGCCGACCCTGTCACTGCATCATCATACACCCCTAAGCTGTCACCTTGCAGATTTGTAAAAAAAAAACCTAATGGGTGATATACAAAGTAGGCGCAAAAAGGCGCACGTCAGCTGATCTACCCTACCTAAACGTTTGGTTTGGTTCCAAGTTAAAGGATTTTTTCGGGATTATAAAGAAGGAAAAGACAGACAAGGAATTTTTATCGTTGGAATAAAATGACTACGACGCTATTTCGTAAATAATCACAATAAAATGAAGGTAATAGTACAACGAATGGCAAAGAAAGGACGATACAATAAAATTGTAATTGTTTAAATACCTGTATTGTTTATGCACTAGATGCTTTTTGGTCGCTGCTTCGATGTAGAATGGTTTGAATCCGCCTCCTTGACTTGGATATGGTTAAAAGCACACAGACCGGCCAAACTTCTGGACGTGGCTTCTAGTTGATTGTTTCTCCTATGTGGAAATTAAGTTCGACTACCAGCTGTGCTCTGCACGGACCGGTCACAGAATCCGCGTGTGTGGTACCCTTACTCAGTAGCCGGACCTTACTATACTAGGGATTAGCGGTGGCTGGCCTATGTAAGTGTCCACCAAAACCACTAGCATCATCCATGATCCAACGACCGAGCGTCTTCGGATTAACCCCAGGAGTAGGCAGATTGATATTCCCGCTACTCCTTAGTAGTTTGATACGCGCTGTATATAATGTATTCTGTAGATATGTTGTTTTTTAGTGACTCTATATAGTGTAATATCTTCTACTAAAACGCCACGTTATTCTACGTCGTAACAGGGTTATGCTCTGTCGTGGGAATTTTCAACTGTCACGTTTTCTTTCTTGGAAATGCTGCGAAAATCTTGGTCAGCAGCGCGAAGATGGCTCCCTCTCAATTAGCGCTGTAGTTTACTATAGGTACTGGATTATATAAATATCTATCTAGCGCTAGTATAGGGTTTTTGTTATTTAACATTTGGTTCTGGTAGACATAAGTACTTAACCCTCCCCCTCCCTCCGCTTTCATTTTAATTACAATGACTCGTTTTATTCGCCTCATTCTTAATATACATACGTAAAGTAGTATTTCTAATTTCCGTTTTGCTTCCTTACGGAAAAAATACCATTCTAGGAATAATTGCCGTAGTACTTATTGTCTCGAGGTAATTATGCAAATTTGCAAGTTGTATTGGTAAATAACACGAAAGTATTGTTAAAAAATGAATTAATAATGAATAATAAAATTGCACTGGGAGGCAATACTCTCTCCTCACGCAAATAAAATTTTGGTCGTCAGAATCGTTATTATGCATTTATTTCGTTGGTAACATGACCAAATGCGATCATAAGGAGCCAAAGCTCCTAAATCATTTTGACTTTGATCATCTAGAAGTTATTTAAGTGGTAGCTCGAAAACAAAATTCGAAAATTTCAATTCATTATTAAGTTATCGTGACAGACAACCAGACAAATAAGGTCATAAAGAAGCTTTGCAATTATCAAAATTGTTCTATTCAGGACCATATATCCAACTTGTTAATGCGAGTTAACTTTCACTACTGGGGCATATCAATCATAAACAGACGGTTCTCGTTATCATTTACATTGTATTGTATGAGGTCATGTCGCGTTAACACGAATGTTCAATTGAAAATAAATGGCACTCACATGCTCCCAGTCTGATGTCGTCAAATTGCAAATACACGTCTTTCTACTGATCTGAATGTAAAGAATAAGACTCGAGTTACATCTGTTGCACTTCTAGTACCTACCTACACACCTTTGAATATGAAAAGAAAGCTTTTATTCGCTTAGAAGGCAATGAGAATTTGGCCATAAGCCAGGTAGTTTCACACGATTTAAATCTCTACCTGTAGCAATTTCGTTGTCTATATCCTACAATTTTAACACTACTTTATTACGTAGGCACACCACCTTATCTCTATGATCAGAAACTTACAGCTAACAGCACGACATACAAATCGATGAAGGCTGCGGTTTCTGCCATAGATACATACAATTTGATATTATGATGTATGACTGTTGCTACTAACGAATCTAGCTCGAAAAGGAAAATGATTATCAAATTAAAAGTATTCTTATTTTGCACGCTGCTTATTTTTCTCAATGAGTCTCAAACACACTTTTGACACAGGTGACGCCAATGAGCATGATTTTTTAGTTATTGCTAATAAAAATGCCTTCGATCATTTCCTCAAATCACCTTAAAGTAAATGAAAATTATACGACTTTTGTTTTTCATATTAAACCATACGATTGTAGACCGATATCAGGTGTTCTGCGACCGCCTTTGTCTCATGGTGAGCATAACCTCTAAATAGCATTATGCGGGTTACTCTGTAATTGGGCGCATGCCTGTTAAGGGCCCAAAACAAGAGAGGGATAATAATAATAATATCTACAGGGATTTTTTTTAATGTTTACAACTATACATATGGGGTATGTATACTTAAAAAAAACATGTCAATGCATGGAATAGATTGCTATTATATGCAACCAACTTTACACGAATTCAATGGTAAAATGCATCTGTTATGGAAAAAGTAATGAAACTGAAAGAAAAATAGACACTCAGGGCCAGAGTACACATACCACGCACCAAGCGTGGCTTCTGCTATTTAAAACAGTTTCCCTTTCTCTTCAACTTTCTGAACCATCTCCTCCTAAATTACTTTCTCGTCGAATCACTAACATCTGAGTTTGCGTGGGCGAAAACCATCTGCTTATCTAACTTAATTAGCTTACGGAGCGATAAAAATTTCTTATCGCAACGACCGGATTTAAATGAGATAACTTTAACAAAACAGTATTTCCGCAATCATTCTAAATGAACTATTAATAAAATGGAATCAAAATACGATGCGATTATTGAAACTTGAAACTTTGACATTAACAAATAATTCTTAAACACAATCATGATCGAAATTGTGTTCAACCTCAACGACCACATTTACGCGTAAAGAACATTGAAATTCACACACAGTGACCTAACTTATTATGGGTGCTAAAAAATTTTGCCTCTCCCGCCTCCAAAGCACCCAATCATTTTATTGTCTGGGTTGTGTTAAGACATGAAGATGATGACTTGCGAGGAAAAGATCTTCAGTGACGAGGCACTTACACGAGGCACATTTCAACTAAACGGCTTTGTCAAGAAAAAAATTGCCGTATTTGGGGATCAGACAATCTATGACAGTTAACGGAGCCTGGTACCGTACGTTGATAAGGGATTGTTTGTGGCCTTATTTTGATGCAATGGACATTCAGCTCTTATGGTTTCATCAAGATAGCGCCACGTGTTACACCTCCGCTGAAACCATTGCGTTGCTCCGTGAGAAATTCCCGCATCCACCAAGGCCGTGAGATTCTCGGTGAGATTCAACTCCACGCGATTTCTTCTTTTGGAGTTATCTCAAATCATGGGTTTACGTCAATAAATCCCGAAATATCGATGAATTCGACGAGTTTCGGCGAAATTCAAACACTTGGAGTGCCAGCAAAGTATAGGGGGTCATATGCCCGATAATATTTCCGATGCCTAAAATGGGAAGGTTTGTTTAATACGTTTATGTCCTCGTTAAATGTGTTTTATTTAATATTTCCATTTTGGTGCACTTTCACTTTCAAAAAGATAAAAAATTGCCCTTTTATTCTCCTTATGTCTGTCTGTCTGTGTAAGTCACAAAGGCTCCGGAACTACACCACTTACAGACTTGGTATTGGTGTCATGCGATCAGAAATTAAAAATTATTTCATGTTTGTATTCTCGTTAAGGCATGAGATGTCCATAAGGGCTATTAAAATCCAAAAAAACAAACTTGAAAGTGCACTCTTCGCCTCTTGCTCATCAAGCGGCTTAACGAATTTTTTCTTATTTGATTTTTGAATCCCCAATTACTTCAAAGGCTGTGGCGAACTTTGGTTTTTCATATCATTCTAAAGAACATAATATTTTTTGCCAACCGTAGTAAATGCTAGTATTACAATGAAAAAATTAAATTGTGATAAACTTTTGGCCGCTACTGTACATCATATACGCAAATGCCTCAGCAAGGTGGATTGTGAATCCACCTTGTGCCCCGTGTTTATTATTATTTGGACGAAATGCAACTAAAACTTTTTGTTCTGTGTACTACATACGTCAGTGCATTGTCTTGTCATCTATTGTATTTGTTTAAATTCACAGTACTAATTTCTCTCGTAACGAAGTATTGCAATTTGGGTCTCGCTATGTTAGCGAGGTGACCGCTACGTCATACTAAATTAAAGTTTAGAAATGTTCAGGGAGTTTATCACCATACCATATAACTAGGACGGTACATAAAACTTTCCGCTAAAACCAGCTGATATAATAATTACGTGGCGTTATGCCTAAAGGGTTGGTTGATCTCTCGGTTTATACCAACCTAAGCTCAAAGGAAATCCTGGTGCTTCGTCACAGCTATTCCAATATTTATTAATTGAAAAACCTGCTAACCTACTTCCGTAAACGGTATCCTATAACACCGTCCTTTGACGTCACAGGGTGAACTACGTCACTGTTTCAATTCAGGGCAGCTTCAGCAATAAGGTTCATCGAATTGTCCTACTTTCAGTGGAACGCGGTAAACCCTTGGGTCATTCACCATCCACTTCATGAATGAAGTACCTTTCAATACTTCTTTGTTTATCATATTAATAAGTTATGGAAGTTTGCTACCTAAATAAATTGTAAGTGTTCCGTACCCCAAAAATGGGGAATTTTCGGGGTAAATGAACGAGCTGTAATTTGTCGCAACCTATTGTTTAACTAGATCAAGGAAACACGTTAATATCGTCTATCTATGCATGTTCAGGTGAAATTTAAAAATATTAATTCCGTGTTAGCATATGTTTTATTAAACTTTTACGTCCTAATTACAGATGATTGTCGTTTTACTAAACAAGGAAATAAGTAAAATATAAACGTAACTAAATATAGAACAAACATTACATTTTTTCGATATTTAATTACGGACGTTGGCGTGACCCAACTGTATATTTAGGTTGCGGTCTACTGAAGACTGTTAATTCTCCCATCCACTGGGATTGGGATAGGATGCTAATTTATACGTTATCTTTGTCGCAGTCACCGCGTTGGGACGGAACTTCATTTAAAAACGTACAAACGGAAGCGAGATAATACCTTACAAGGAGATGACGTAAACGTATACAGCAAAATCGATACTCCCTTGCAGCATCGTTGCCTAACATAGAAATGCCTCTTAACATTTTTGGTCAAGGTACTCTAATATAAACGCTTTCTATTTAAACTTGATAGCGAAATTGTTACGATTCCCCTTTATATGTCATATTTAACAAAGGGGCTCGTTTCGCATTTACATTCGAAAGCAAGAGGGTTACATCTACTTACTCATTTTCAAAATAGGGCACAATGGGGAAGAATATCAAATACCTACTTTATATACCGACCTGGGAATGCGAAACGAGCATAACGGAATTGATCATTGTTATTACATCGTTCTGTTTTCGTTAGTTAATTAAAGTTCGACGTGCATTCAATGAAACAAAAATGTGAATGAAA